GGGGAGAGAGAGGAGTGGAGGGAAAGGAGGGGGCAGGGAGAGGGAGAGAGAGGAGAAGGCGGGAAGAGGAGACTCACCTGGGCCGGACAAGAGACTCAGTTTAGGCAGGTGGAGACATTGCTGGCCAGAGGTTGTAAGGGGTGTGTTGTCAGTGTCCATTAGTCTGTTTTCACTAGTTTAGTCATAATTCTGTGTGTAGGTGGTTAAAACTCAGACTACTAGACAATGATAGGTAGTGAAAAACAGGAATCCTGGGCTGCATCCCAGTTCAGACCCTATCGATGCAAAGCCTCAAACGGAGCCCTGACTGTGGGGTCATCCAGAAAGCACTCTGGACTGGGCCTCTGGGGACCTGGCCTTGGTTCCGGCTCTGCCTCTGCCTAGCTCAGGCACAGGTCACCACCTCTCTGGTACAGTCAGCCTTCTTTCCTCACTCACAGGCACTCTTCAGGGGCCTCTTGAGGTCCAACATACCCTAGTATCTCTGTGAAGTCCTTGACTCCATTGTCAACAGTGACAATTATGGAAGCTTTGGTTGATTATGGGTGAGCACCATACCAGGCCCATTATACATACATCCTCATTAGCCTTCACAGAAATGAGGATGATAAGTATTTCACCAATGACGAACCCGAGGTTTAGACAGGGAAAGTGACTTGCCCAAGGTCACATAGCTAGAAAATCACAAAGGATAGTTTTTGAACCCAGATCCTTGCAAAGGCTGGGTGGTTGCCCTGTCACACAGTCCATTGAAGAAAATCCTTTGAGCTTGTTTTACAATTAAAATTAAGTGGGAAGTGGCTACACTTCTCAGTGTTTCTGCAGTTTTTCACATTTGCTAAAGAGGAGCTCCCAGTTCACTTGGTCTCTTTCTCTGGCTCTGCCTACCTCCTTCCCCGGGGTACACTACTGAGCGACAGGTTTGGGACCACCTATCCCTGCCCTGCCTCACTTGGGGAGTGAGGGCAGGGTTGTCGTCAGCCACAGAGCTGGGTGGGGCCCTGAAGACACTCTAGACCATCTGCCAGTAAGACCCTGGCTGAACTGAGGCCCTGAGATTGCACAGCGTGCTGAGGCCACCCACCAAGCTGACACCACAACAAAACCCACACCTAAACTTCTGTCTGTGCGCCCCTCTGCCTCCTCTTTCTTGCTGTGACACATTTAGCAGAGTCTTAACCTGGGATCAGGGAGTCTAGGGGAACATTGGCAAAGGCCCCCTGAGTCCCCTGCAATTGTATGCAAATTCGGAGCATGTGTTTGTGTGCACACATGTACAGATTCAGAGCATATGTTCGTCTGCACACATGTGTACACATATGGATGCATTTTACTGGGGAGAAGGTCTAAGCTTTCAAGAGACTCCAAAGGGCTCCATGACCCAAAAGAGATGCACCATGTCTCAGCTGTCACAGGAATCACCCACAGCAGCTGCACATGGCACACAGGGCCTAGCTCAGTGGATGTCACAGGTGGGGGGCAGCTGGGGAGAGCACCCAGGGCCGCCCTGCAGCAGCTGCCACTGAGTGCTGGGCCCCTCTGTCCAGCTGCCCCTGGGATAATTGGCCAGTGGTCACTCTGAGCCCGTTTGGCCCAAAGAGCATGGCTGAGAGGACTGCTGTTTCTGTAGATCACCTCTTCTGTATGGAGGAGGGGTGTCCCCACAGGACCACGGTGTGTGCTCGTGAGACGAGCAGGAGGACTGGAGACAGCTTTCTTGCTCAAGGTTGCTGAGCCTTGAGAGCAAGAGCAGAAACCAGAAATCCTGCCAGAAACGCCTGCCCCTGGGCTGGGCCCGGGAGAAAGCTTTGTCGGGGAGGCCGACTCTGCAGGTGCTGAGGGCCAGACTCTTCAGAGAAGGAGGGCAGTGCAAGGCAGTGGGTGGGGGAGCAGAGGCCTGTGCAGGGATACATTCAAGGCGGTTCTAGCTGAGCTGGGAAGCCAAGGTAGTAGAGCTGGCAGGGCGTTGAGGCCTCCTGTCTCCCTGCGCTCCCTCTGCCACCATCACCTCCCTCTGGACTGCCCTCCCACGGCTCCGGCTCCCTAGCCAGTCCATCCTGGGGTGGGGGCCAGGAGGGATGAGAGTCCAGAGGGGTGGGCGATGGTGGAGAGGGAGAGGTGGGAGCTGGAGTGGGAGGCTGGTGTGAGGACAGCCAGGGTGGAGGGGCCAAGGGCACAGCTGTTGAGCTGCTTCTTACCATCTCCATCAGAGCAGCTGGCTGTCTTGGCCAAGAGTGGAGCCAAGGGGGGCCGTGTCCAGCCAGACAGCCCCTCACCCTGCAGCGTCCTCCCTGGCCAAGCTCCTGCCTTTCTGCTCTCTTGAAAGGATCTTTGCATGGGTGCCTTCCTGCTGCCACCTTGTCTGGTGCTTGAAAGCCCTAGCCCTGGGTTTTGGGGCCGGGCGTTTGGGCCTCCCAGGAATGTAGCCCTTCTCTGCCTTCTCGCTGGGACCCCCCTGCTGTGGGAGCAAGACTGGGCTGAGAGGATCCCATCCGTGCCCACTCCCTCTGCCCGCCTGTTTCTTTGGCTTCCCACGTCTCTTTCTTCACCTGCTTGATTCAAATCTTGCCTAAAGAAGAAAATAAGAATCACAATCTCATGAAATGTTAGAACAGAGGTTATTAAGCTCTAGGATTTCAGACATGCTTCAGACATTTAATTTGGATACCAATATGTTGTCAATTTTGCCAAGTAAGGACAACCACTACCATCTATTTTCACCATTATTTTATGAACGAGGTGATATCCTAAGATTACAAAGTAGGAAGGATATAGTCTTAAAACAAAAGATTTTAAAACATACTCAACTTAGCTTCCTGAAAACGCCACTTCATTAACCTTCTGTTTCTCATGTGGCCGCTGACCACAGGCACTGGGCCCGTGGTGACTGAAGAGTCACAGCCCTGCCTTCTGTGATGCCCGGCCCCATGACCACAAAGGAGGAAAGTGGGTCAAGCCTAGCAGTCATAAAGGCTTTGGTGTCCTTTGTCCCAAACCTAAGGTGAGGGACAATAACACAGGCTGGTTGTTGTCAGCAGCCCCCCCTCGTTCTGGCAGAGCAGCCAGGGAAGTGGAAAGAAAACAGCTCCCTGCCGTACACTGGGGACAGGTAACTGGGGCTGGCACCCTGCCTGTGGCCCCCTGGGACCCCTCCTCTGGGAGGCCAGAGCCCGGGCTGCAGCTTAGCTCTGTGGTTGGGGCTGAAGGAGAACAGGACAGAGCCCTTCCAGCCTGGGGGCTGGGAGGGGAGAGCAGGCCGAGACCAAGCTGGCAAGCTCCCCAGAGTGGCAG